CAGGAGATGCAAGTTGTCTTCCGATACGTCATTCGGATAGTCTAACAGAACTGGGCTGCAGTTGTTCATGTCCACTAAAGTAATGTACTTGTGAAATTCAGTTTTGCTTTTGAAATAATAATCTATGTTCCACTGAAACACGGCCTTATTCCCTCCAAGCATAGTCTTAAGTTGAGGGACATCAAAGATGTAGAACTCGTAATCTTGTTTCGATACCGGGAACTTCACGTCGCAATTCTTTTCGGTGCCATTTACCATTTTTAGCTTCAACGAGCAGTCAACTCCCTCAAATCTCTTTTCGATGCAATACATGTACAAAAGGCTTTCGTTACTTGGGTAGAGTATCGTGGTGGAGTCAAGAAGTGGCTCAGGGTACTCTTTATAAAAGTCCTGGTGCATCTCGACGGCCTGCGTGGCGGCACACAACAGACCCGCAGCCACGAGCATTTTAGTCAAAGACAACATTTTTCCTTTAAACAAATATTTTTTTTTTTTTTTGTTTTCATTACTTTTTACAAATCATTCGCAGTTACAAGCGAAATGAATTCTTAGGCTTTTATGCTCGTAAAATCAGTATTAAAATTTCGAGCGAATGAGCGAATGTAAGAATTGGAAATTAGTTAAAAAATGTATTTCTGCGGATTATTTAAGATTAATAATTCTGAAACAAATTCTATTATTTTCAAAAATTACTTACCCTGCACCTAATACCAGTTTATTGTCGACTACATCTAGACATACTAGGCCGGCTTTTATATCATTCAGTGTGGAGGCGAAGAGGTGCCAAGAGGTCACATGACCTGCGTCGAGCTGGTATCGAAGTATGGTTGGCTCATAATAATTTTTCCCATATTACGATTACCTTGTCTGTCTATAATACACTTGTAGGTAGACTATCTTTATTCTTTTTAAAACAGCTAAGATTTCTTGAGTTTGCTTTTTTGAAAGCTAAATATTAGCTAACTCTTCCGATTCATAAAGGTGTTTTTGTATTGTTAGTTTTGCTCCGGAATTTTCCTGATAGCCAACTACGAATCATAAAGTGTAATGAATAAAAATCACGCTATTTTGAATTCAGAATATGCTCAATGTGGGGTTATCAAAAATATTTGATCCAAGGTAAATGTCTTGAATTTTTTTTTTTCGAATAAATAGTAAATATGTAGCATTGACATTAACAGAGCAAATAATTCATAAATTTTAATAACACCCATATAAGAATTCCGATTGTAAAGTGACACGCGTTTTTTGTTTAGTAATTTTGTTAAAACAGTTTCATTTATCATTCAAAGTGGGAAAATTAAAAAACAAAAATTAAATAAAAAAATAAGACTTATCAGAACAAAGAAATTTTTTTTTTTAATAGCATTTTTCAAGATAAGTTTTATGTAATAATTAACTCAAACATGATAAACTTCATCTACTAAAGTAATTTTTTGACATTTTGTTAGGGTTACCATATTTCATATGAATTTCACATGTCTTGCTTTGAATCAGTTAATATGTAACCTTTTGTATCTTCATATAGGGATGAAAATACCCTTGCTTATCATGAAATATTATATTAATAACTCTAATTTTCAAAAAATTGTTACAATGACTCTCTTCATTCTCATAGCAAGTTAGATATGGTAGTTTATTTTCTAGAGTAATAACAACTTGTCAAAAATTTTGCAATATTAAGAAATCTTTTGTTTTTGTTTTTAACCACCTTCAACTTGGCAATTTTTCTGATTTCTGACGAATTTATTAATGCATGAACAAACAGATAGTTTTGTAGGGGTGAAAGAGTACAATTATTAGTCAATGTACCCTTCAAACAATGCAAGCCGAATCTTTTTACTTGATAATTATAGATTTTTCTGAAAAAGTGCAGTATATCATTGTAGAGACATGAGTTTTTTTATTATCCAAGACTGAAAAATGTTTTGTTACCACAACGAATCTTTTGGAATGACACTATTATATTATATACGCACCAAGAAAACAAAACGTGCTATTGCTTGTCGGCGTGTAGTTCCACTAGCTGGAAAAAATGACACACAAGTTTGCATATAGCGGGTGTGTGACTATTCTGAGATGAAATTTATTATGAATGTTATGAATGTAAAAATAATAACGAGGTGTTAAAAATGGGATCACAGGAAGTTTAGCCAAGGAAAATTATCAGATTCAATGAGATTAAGCGATTTTATTGATCCAATCAAATACAATCACAAACACCCAAAAAAACATTATCACATAAGTAACTTGTCGAATAATAAAATGGTATAACTATATAAATATTTGTTTTCATTAAAGGAAAAATTTGTGGAATCAATCACAACAAAACAAATCCATAGAAAGTACTGTTTAAGCACAAAAATGTTTATTTGATCAAATTTGATTGAGAATAGAATAAAGTTACACTTGTGTTTTATATGTAATATAATAAAGGCATTGTTAAATGACTTTTATTTTATTACATAAAGTGTTAACCACTTGAAGTCACGAAGTATTCAAGTTCAAGCTTCTTGGTAAATCTAAAAATATATACGCACATTTTATGTGTAAGCTACATTTCATTTTATTTTTTTATTTTTTAAATCGTCGTACAAACGTGAANTACAGCTTTTTTCACACACGTCGTTTGGTTTGCTTTTCTTTCAAAATATATAATATATTATGTATAGAGCTAATTGTATAAAATATGATCGTTAACTTCTCAACGTCCTTCTAAGTACATGCGAGCGTGTGTGTTTGTTTACTGTTGTTTTTACGTAAGTGCAAATTGTTTATAAATATTTCTTCCATTTAATGATGGTCAACCTTTAATTTTTTGCTTAAGCACGTCTTTAACCATTTGTTTAATTCACTTTGCGAATAATTGATTACAATTTTTTTAATTCTCACGTTTTAAGACATATATAAGAAAGTAGATGATTAAATTTTTATTTTCAGCACACCTGAGTTTTGAATTATGTTAACATCAATACGATCCACATACATATTATTAATATTGTCCCGTAGCATCATTTTTTTTTTTTTTTTTTTTTTTTTTTTTTTTTTTTTTTTTTTTTTTTTT